ACACATATAAAAAAGATATTTTAAGTATAACTTATAGTTTAAAGGTTTTTCGTAGTAATATACTAAATGGTCATTTTTCATAAACGGCTTCTTTAGACGAAATTCAATTTTCTGTTCTATAAAATAAAGTTTTTTATTATAATCGTGTAAATTGCATGGAAAATAACATGTGTCGTTTTGCTTGCTTTCGGTTTTTTTAACATTTTTCAATTCTGATGAGATCTTATAATTTATATCCAATGCTACCAAACAGTTTCGCACCGCTTTTACAATTATGTTAATTTGACGGGCTACTAGCGTAAAGTTATATATGTATATATCTATCTGGAATCTATTTCACGACACATTAAAAAAATGTAGTACTTTATACAAAACCCAATTTAATCAATTTTTCATCTTTCGCATAAAGTCGAACAAAGTATTCGTGCGCTTTATATACGATTTATTTTTCTCAAATAATTTATTCATTAACTATAAAGAAACCACACTTGACAACATATTCGCCAAAAAAAAAAAAAAAAAAAACCAAAAAAAAACGCGCGACTTCTCTACATACCTTTTTTTATAAATATTTATATACAAATTCATTAGATCTAATTAATAAGAGATGAAAATAGAAAATATATATTGCAGTGCTCTATCTAAACTATAAAAATTATGTACAAAATATTCAATGCTAATAATCACAAAATTTAACAATATTAAGTTCTCCGTGAAATACTTCATATTGATACAGAATAATATGAAACTATATGTATCACATATTAAGCTGTGTACCAACAAATAGAAATAATCTTTAGCAGTACTACCAACATTAAGATTTAAAGCTTGACTTATTAATATATAATAAGTATCCTTTCGATGATAAAATTCCACGGCATTTGAGATGGATTTGATATCTTATCAGCCAGCGCAAGTGAGCAGTACTACCAAATATACCCTCTAATATCTCTTGAGGAAATATTTCTATAGAGAGGTATACAGAGATAGATGAAGCAGTTGTTACATTTAATAATCAATAGTTTTAATTGGAAGATACTCACCACTCGGATCACTGTGTGTTAACAACTGAATATCATTTTCCTTAGTGAATTCTTGCAAGGCTGGTGGTACCACGCAACATGTGGCTAAATTAATTTGTACAATATTTGGCTTCACCTGCAACATAGAAATATTAATTAGGATCTATGTAAAGATAAAAACTGAATTAAGAAAAAATAAGCAGATATTATTTCACATAGCAAATTATCCTTACATCAGCCCACTGAAACAGTTCGATGAATGTGTTTGTATTAATGTCGCTCAATCCGACACTAGATAATTTATCAACTTTTACATATTCCTCTACCACAGACCATATTCTTTTCAATGATGACAACAAATTTTGTGGATCTTCATCACTTTTGTAAGCTATCACTAAAGATTCTATGATATTTGTACCTAGTGCTTTAAATGCTACAATAAAATATAATATATTAGAAATATATTATTATAACAACAAACATACCTTGGTCTAATGCTTCCTTCAACGAGTCAACATCGGGTGAAGAGATAAATACTTTTACAGTAATCTTTAAGTCTTTCCTATCGACATCCTGTAAGCTTGTATCCTCCCTACCATTTATCTACAATTGTAATTAATAAAACTTTTTCAAATGTTCAGACATACCAATGCATGTACACATTTTCAATTAATAATTACTAGAAATTGCACATATACGTACAACTGTTGTACCATCTCCTTTGCTTTGCTTATCGTTTAGGATAATTTTTAATGTCTCACTTAACTGAAATAAATCAATAAGAATATCAATTTTTTCAAAGAAACAATTCCGAAAAATGTAATGTAGAATATAACCTCGACTTCTCAACGATTACAAATCACCGCGAGGCGACAAGAGATATTATTATTTCATTACAACTGACCTCGTCCGTGGAATTTTGACTCGCCTTTTGCCTCGCCTCGCTTAGGGATAGTATATTCCCTGTGTTGACGAGTAAATTATGCGAAAGCATATTTAAGGACCGATATGAATTTCTCGCGGCAAGTCCGTCTCGTTGAGAATTGTACGTTTATTTATACGCTTGCGGTGAAAAGTGATGTCATCGCGATCATGACTGTTCAATTTATGCTAGAAAAACTGAAACTCTACGAGATTACATCGAGTTACATCATGTCTCGATTCTCGAGATCTTTAAACAAGTCAGAACAAATTACACAGTTGTTGAGAGTACATAATTTCCTTCAATTGTGATGTGAAGGATGGAAGTGAAGTCATGCGCGAAAGAGAGAGAGAGAGAGAGAGAACTTTTTTATGTAAATTTTTTGTTAACGCAGAGAAATAGCTCAATTCTCTCACATTAATGATAACAAGTAACAAAAGTTTATTATAATGTTAGATATTTTAACGCTTGATGATATTTTTTCTAACGAGTTAATTGCAAATTATAAAGCGCATTCTCCTGTCACAGATGCTTAAAACATTTCAAATTTTATATTTGTTTAAATGGCGGCTTAACAATATTTAAATCGGTAACCTTTTTAATTATATATAAAACAGAGTTACTTATCTTACAAGTTTTTTATCACGGATCTACATAATTCATTTATATATTTCCAAAAAAATTAACTGATCGGCGAATCTGAAAAGTTAAATTATTCGTCTGGATAGATTAATTTTATTCACACATGATCTCCTTATATACAGATATTTTTTTCGATATTACTTATAAAAGCTATCAATATACGAATATCGCTGCAATGATTGGTCGACAAATGATTAGTGACCATAGCAGCACTAAAATTACTGTGAAAAATCATGCGTTATATATGACAAACACAATTCATATTCATTAAATATCATAAATTACACCGTACCCATATAATATATAGATGAATATATGAATTTTTTGTTTATTACAGAACTATTTATTAAAATAATAATTTGTCAAAAAGCAAAATAAACGAATAGGGAAAAGCTCCTTCTAGGAGTTTGCTACACCGGCGTTAATAGTGATCGGAAG